CGGACAAGGGGATGAATGAATTAAGACCAAATTCGATCAAACCTTATGCAATGAAAGAAAACTCCGATCAAGCCCCAAGCGATTTACTTTTTAAATCACTTATGAAGTGTGCGATAAACACAAAATCGCTTACACTGTTATGAAGAAGTTCGCTCAACACACTGCAGGTTTAAAACACCAAGTATAAATCGCTTAACAATCTCACTCTAGAGATGTAATAAATCGCTCAGTGTAACCTGTAAATCGCTCACTTTGCTGATTAAATCGTTCAATTGATGACCGTATACGGTCAATCCAAACTTACCTTATGTCCGAATTCGATCAATATAAGTTACCTTTGTGTCCGAATTTGATGAACCTTGTCTCCCCTAGTGTCCGACATCGCTCAAGTCTAGCTTCTAGTCGAACTCTTCAACCTGCTGATAATCCGATCAAGACCTCTGCGATTTAAACTCTTGTCCGCTCAGGTTGTGATCGATTTAATCACTTGATCGGACAAGGAGCTCAAGAACTTGAGCGATTTGAAAAACCTGTTGATTCAGACTTTGAGCGATGAAATAGTCCAAGTTTGTTGGGCCTAATCTAAATGGGCTGAGATGATTCAGATTTTGAGCGATTTAGGATTAAAAACAGAAAAGACACAAGAATTTTAACAAAAAATGGATCAAAAACACAGTTTTTAAAAAAAATTCAAGGACACAAGAAAATTATAAAACACAAAAACGATTAAATCTTGAAAAGGCAATGATCAAACCACAAAAATTTGTGAATAACAAAGATTCACATTGAAATTTCGCACGTATTGATCATGGTTTTAACACGAAAAACACAAAATTTTCCAAAATTTTTTGGATCAAACTTAAAAAAAATATAAGAACACGAAGAAAAAAAAATTCTAGAAATTAATCTTCGAAAAATCTTCAAAATCTCTGATTTCTTTTGTTGATTTCTTGCACAACTTGCTCTGATACCAATTGTGAGGTCACTTTGATCAATCTTTAAGATATCTTCAATGAATCCATGGCAGTTTATGATTTAGCCTTGAAGAACATGAGAGGAGAGATGAGAGAGTTTGAGAGGAAAAGTCAAGATCTGAAATCTAGTCAAACTTCAATATACGTATTTAGAATTTTACAATGGAGCTCTTGCAAAGATTACAAGACTTCACCCTATTTATAGGGTCAAACATTACACAAATGGTCAAAGTCAAACTATCTAAGAATAGTCAAACATGATGACTTTTCTACAATTATAGACAAAATAAACTTTCAAGACGAATACAATATTACACTGACTTTCAGTCCTAACATACGGTCGCCACTTTGTTACAACAAATACGATGGCTATGAGTTCCTTCTCATATATGTGTTTCTGTCGAGCAACCTGACCCAAAACTTGGCTTTGTTATGCGATCAGCTGTCCCCCTTGCATTGATACCGTCCCAACGCCTTGGCCCTATGCGTCTGTTTCATTTCAAATGGCTGACTAAAATCTGGCAGCTTCAAAACTGGGGCTGAAGTCAATGCCTTCTTTAATTCTTCGAAGGCCACATCAGCTGCCTTTTGCCACTTGAATCCTTGTTTCTTCAAACAATCCGTTAGACCTTGTAATATGCCCATAACCCTGGATGAATTTTCTGTAGTAACGGGTTAAACCCAAAAATCCCCTTAGTTGTGTTACAGCTTTTGGTGTTGGCCTTTTGAGCATTGCCTCAACTTTTGTCATATCCATGGACACCCCTTTTCCTTCATTCCTTAGTGTCTTCATCATCGATTTGAATGATACTGAGGATCTACCAAGAGCTGGATTTCCTTTTAAGGTTAGGGTTTCCCCTCCTTTTTTGAATCTCATAACCTGGTTTTGCCTAGTCACCCATGTTGGTCCTAGTGGGGCCAACCATTTAACGCCTAATATTACGTCTGAGTTTCCCAAATTAACGGGCAAAAATTCTTCCACAACTTCAATTCCTTACATACTTAGCTTCACCCCTTGACATACTCCCCGTCCCTTCATGGCTTCTCCTGCTCCCATTGAGATAACATATTCTTCTGTGATTCTTGTAGATAACCCAAGTTTCTCAACTAACATCGTGGCTATAAAATTGTGGGAAGCCCTGCTGTCAATTAAAACAACTACCTTTTGGCCTTCTACCTCTCCGTCTAGCTTCATAGTCTTCGTTGTTGACAATCCTGCTATTGATTTCAATGATACTTCTACTTCTCCTCCCATTTCTATCCCCGCCAATTCCGTCATCTTCCCTATGTTCGCATCTTCATCGACGTTGTACTCTTCCGCCTCTTGAACCACCAACACACTAAGCTCCTCCTTTTTGCATCTGTGACCCGGAGAATACTTCTCTTCACACCTGTAACATAAACCTTGAGCCCTAAGTTGTTGAAGTTCTTGATCGGACAATCTTCTGAATTCCCCGACAGGTTTTCCTCCCTGTCCACTACTCTTGTTGGAGGGTTCAACAAATCCCTTGTTTCCCGCATATTCTTCTCCATTACGCTTGTTCAACCGGCTACCTTTTGGGTTATTTATTCTTGCTCAAATCTTGTTTTTTTTTTCTATCCTCTGAGCTAGTTCCATGGCCTTTCCCAATCCCACCGGTGCGAGGGTGCGGACTTCTACCCTGATTTGTGGACTCAACCCGTTTAAGAATTGACTAACGAAAACTTCATCCAGAATCCCTTCTAACGGGGCTGCCAACATAACAAACCTTTTGTATTCTGCCACCGTGCCATCTTGCTTAACGGCCAAGAATTGCTCACATAAAGATCCCTCCCCCGCTTGTTTAAACTGATGAAGAAGTAATGTTTTTAATTCTTCCCATAGCTTAATGGGTCTCCTCTTATTCTCCCACTCGAATCCTAGCAAGGCGTCACCCTCAAAAGCAATGACCAAGACTTCTAGTTTTTCTTCATTGGTTAATTTATTTAGAGCGAAATACCTTTCAGCCCTCAATGTCCAACCGTCTGGGTCTGTCCCTTCGAACACAAGTAACTCTAGTTTCCTCCCCCTTATCGCAAGAATCCGACCAATATCGTAGTTTTTGTCTACACGATAGTCCGCCTTTTTTGGTTGTCCATTGTCTCCGTTTTCATCCTTTCCCCCGCTCTTCTCCGTTCTTCTAAGCGCTTCTTCTTGCAATATCAACATTGTTTCCATTTGTTTGAACACTTTCTGCATGTCGTCCTTCAGCGAGTTCACCTCCGCTTGGACCGTTCCCAAGCTTCCCTCCACCTCGTCCATCCTCGATGTTGTTGATCGAGTCATTATCGTGTGATAGTAATTGTGAACAGTGATCGTGAATAGTGATTCGCGAATAGTGAACAGTGATCGTGAACAGTAATTCGTGGATAATAACACGATTACTAATCCAGAACAGCAGCGATAGGCTCTGATACCAATTTGATAGGAGTCGATAAAAGGTTGCCAAGATTAGAGTATTAAAACCCTACAACTTCCGAGAGGCTGCAGTCTTTCCCTTTTCAATTGTAGAGAATTGAATTATAATAAATTGATCTATATTCCTAAAAGGTAAACAATGAAGGTATTTAAACTAATATGTAAAAGACTCCTAGAATAAAACGGATCCTAAAGAAAAACAAATAAAACAATTAAATTAAACATAAGATAGTTATATGTAAACTTGAGGACTTATAACTTATCCAAGACTTGCTTTATTTTAATCTTATTAATCTGCTCTCCTCTCTTTCCTTCTTGAATATGTCTTTATACTCTGAAGTCTATCATATACCTTCTTGGTTGTGTCGCAAACCTAGATCATTTTTAGATAATTCATGAGGGCTAAGTGTTACAATCTTAGTTGAGTTGAACCTCCACATTCAGAACCCAAGAGTATACTTCATTGCTTTATTTTATATACTTTTAATGCTTGTTAAACACTTGATCACTCCTACCCTTCTGCTAAATAGACCTGTTGTAGGATTGGTGATTTACAAATGAGAGCTGTCTCTTGCTTATAGGAGAACCTGCCTTCTGAAAGGAACCTTCTAGTTGTGAGAAGGTACAAAGCTCATGTACAAAGTTCCTTAAACTGCTTACAGTTATGACTTATGAGTACTCTAGGAAGATGCAAGAAACAAGAGAGTCCTAAAAGGCTAAAACATCTACGTTGTGTTCCCGAATTTGAGAAGAAAAGAAAAGAAGAAAGGGAAGGAAATGATTTTTTATTTGTGTTCTTGAGATGGAAGGGAAAGGAAGGAAATAGAAGGAAAGAAAATAATTTTCATATTCTTTGGCAGGAAAGCTAGAAAAGGAAAGGTGTTGGTTTTACAAATACACCCTTATTTATTTTCCAGCAGGTTGTATTTGATGGGTAGATATGTAATTTTATAAATATTTATAATAATTATTATTTCTTTCCTTCCCTTCCCTTTCCTCCCACATTTGGAAGGAAAATCAACACTATTTTCTTTCCTTTTCCTCCTTAAAAACCTTGAGAACATGGCATTTTTTTTTCTTTCCCCCTATTTTCTTTCCCTTTCCATCCCTTTCCTTCAAAGAAAAGGACTAGAGAACGCAACGGTCGGAAACTGCTAGAACCCATAGAGCTTTATAGAGATTTGTGGAGCCTACCTTGGTGAATGCTTATTATCTCACCTTGTAAGTGCACACTTGGGATCCACTAGACATTTGTATGGGAATTCTCCATTGAATCATGCTAGGTGCGATACTAGGCAGGGAAAAGAACAATGGCTGCTGTTACCAATTATGTACTACGAAAAAGACTATATTGAACTAGTTGAAGTTTCTTCATGCATGATTCGACTTGTTTTCTTGTTGAAAATGCATTGCACGCAATTTCCAAATTTTGAATTTACAGTCCGATATCCATCTTTAAAATAATGGATTGGGGATAGATTTTTGATAGGGGCAAGTCAAGTTTTCTATTTTTCATGTTGTATATGAGATTTTCTTTAATCAAGTAGTTAATCCCTTCATAACTTTTGACCGTGTTGTCAATCTTTCAGGTAATTGCATCAAGTATAGATAGGGATAGAATTCCTGGCATTGATATAAGCTTGAATGATGGTGACACATGGATGTTTGCTGGGCATGAGGTGCACGTCATTGCAACCCCAGGCCACACCAAAGGTTGTTTCTCATTAATCTGCTACTAAATTCATTGCTAACTACAAACATTTAGCTAAGCGTCCTACTAAACTGAAGTTTTAGATGATAAAAGAAATATTTTTCTACTCTAAGTGGATTCCCCACACCATATTGGGCCGATTAGAGCATTACTAACCTAAAGAGTTCTATTTTTCTACTTTAAATATAAACACAGATATACTATTATGGTTGTATATGTTGAAGATTTGATGATTAGAGCACTATTGACCTAAAGAGTTCTGTTGGGTAGCATTTTCAGGTTACTGAGTTAGGATGTATATGTTATTTTCTAGGGTTTGAGGCATCTTATTTGCAACAGGGGGCATTCCTATCTCATAGAAGTCTGTCGTAGACCTCATTACAAAGTGCAGATGGTTAGAAGCTGATAGATCTCTGATTCTTTCAATAGATAAGCTTCTTCTGGAGGACGTTAAGGCCACGAGAGGGATCTACAGTTATTTAGGAGATTCGTTGAGAAAGTCCACTATTTGACTGCATTCAATGAAACATCTCATATTAAATGAGCAAAGTCATTTTATGTGTCTGCTTCTTATATGGTAGCCCATGAGGGATGCTGGTCTCCGTATGTTGAGGAATTTCAAGCTTGGTTTAAAAATGCACGCATACTGCGCTCTGATGCGTGATGCGCTCTGATGTGCTAGAGGTAACGCATCAGATGGGCTGATGCGAAGCGATTCCATATGCGCTCGCATCACCTACGCATCACACGATGCGTGCATCACCTATGCATCAGCGCATCCTGCATGTTTCATGTTTGGGCTCTCTTTTTCAGTTTTTAGTTGGGCTTTTTAGTTGATTAAAATAGAACGTGAGACTGAATGGTGACCTAATAGAAGAAGCCGACAACCACTAATAGAAGCAGAAGTCGCACTCGCTTATCAATCAGATTAAAAAAGAAATAGAAAGTGAATGATGATGGGTCGGGTCCATCAAGAGGGAACCGGAGAGTAAATGATGATGGGTCGGGTCCATCAAGAACTAAAAGTGCTAGAGGAAAAGGACATGCTCTTCAAGATGAAGATGATGAAGTTGAGGTGGAAGCAGATATTGGAGGGTTTGATAATGATGAGATGAACCCGTGTTGGGGTTTGATGATGCTGATCTTGGGGAGTATTAGTTGGTCACTTGGTGATTTAGTTTAGGGATTGGGGACTATTAGACATTTACTTGTGTTCTTCATGGTAGTAGTTTGTGTGTTCTGTTATTCCGATTCACAAAATTTTTAAGATTCTAATGCCACTTTTTGAACTACTTTATGTTATTAATGAAGTATTTTGATAGGTAAGTATTTTTAAGGTAGAAATTGATATGTAGAATTAATTTATAAGTATTTTTTGAATACCGGGCGCATCACATGCGTGATGCGAGCGCATCAGCATCACCCATCAGCTTCCGGGACCCTTACTGCCTCAGACCGCATCGGGCTTTTTAAAACCAAGATTTCAAGACTTCTTCAACATTGTCATGTTGGTGCCATTGTAAGGAGGGTGTATAGAGGATTGATGGATTCTCTGTAGATAGAATAAGATGTATCTTTTCTAGGAGATCTCTCACAAGGTATTGTGTATGTGTAGATGGTAATTTTGTTTCATGGAAGAGTAAGAAATAGCACACCGTCTGTCATTCTAGTGCACAATTATAATACCGGGCCAAGGCTGGTGCCTCATGTGATATGATATGGACTAGGAGGTTTTTAGAGGACTCTTGTTGTCCCTTAGAGGTGATCTCTTAAGGTCTATTATGATAACTAGTAAGCTATTCACATAGCTTAGAATCAAGTCTAAAACGAGAGGATGAAACATATTGAGATAGAATGTTATTTTGTCTATTATTGCTTTGTGGGGGCTCCAAAGGATCATCCTTCTTTTCAGCCGGTGCATATCCTAACGGAATATCATTTAGCAGCGAATTTAATGAAATTCCTATAGAAAATTCGGATAGACTATATTTGTAGCAAGTTGGGCATGATAACTGTTTATGACTTGTGAAATGTGTAGGTTAGCTTCCGTTAAGGTTTGGGTATGCATATATTTAGACTTAACTCATTTTTTTTATTAACCTGAATATGCAACCCGCTATGCGAGCCGACTAATCCCAAGGCGACCACCTGCTTTGCGTGTAACCCAGAGTCACCGCATTTGAACCTCCATGGCCACAAGGGGAATTTTGTTCCTCCTTGGATTTGAACCTGGGACCTCCAGGCACTTTTGATCTTGGGAGTCCAAGCTCAAACCAATCAAGCACCACCCTTGTGGTTAGATTAAACTCATTTGAGACAAACTTTTGAGAATTCTAATTTCAAGAATTATAATCTTTTTAGAAAATTTAATAGTGATTTGAGTTATATCTTTTCCATCTCACATCATAGTTCATCTTGCTAATATGTTGTTTTGCATCACTTCCTGCTCATTTTGTGCCACAAGTTATTTGGGTTCTTTGTCAAACATCATTGATTTTTGTCATCTTGGAAAATTTGGTGCCGGTTTGAATTGAAGGACTTGATAAATGGACACTTGATGGCATTTGGTGTTGAGCAGTCTGTATGGATGGTACTTGCGTCACTATTGTTATGGCCCTCTGCAATCTTCATAGCGTGCTGCAAGTTTGTTTTGCCTTTGAATCTCTTGAGTTACCTTACCGTCACCTGCAAATAAGATCTCTGTCATCTGGAGGAGTTTGTTCTTTTGAGTATGTTTTCATGTATCCAAGCTTGATCTTGCACTATAGTTTCACCAAACGTGTTGCTATAGTCTTGCGTCTTGTTAAAATATTGAAGACATTTTCCATCTCACAAAATTTCATTGCTTGATAAATAGGATTAACCAACATTAAGATGATTTTTGGGTTCTGTTTGGATGGTACTGGGACTACACTAGATTGTTGCTTGTCTTGCCAGAGCTTTAACTTAAGTTGTTCATTTGTTGCCTCTGAATATGGATGTAGTTCATTGTTGCTCTTTTTGTTGCAGTCATTTGCATAAGTTTTTTTTCCCCTTTTTTCTGGTATGCATTGTCTTGCATCACAAGTTGTCCTTTTGTCCCCTCAGAATACAGATGTAGTTACTGTTCTTTTTGTCATGGTCGTTTGTAAAAGTTAGTTTTTTTTTTCTGATGTACATTGTCTTGCATCACAGTATGATATTGCATCATAGTTTTCCTTGTGTCATAATTGTTTTGCCCATATATTCCCTTGCATCATTTCACATTTTATCTTGTTAGGATATTTTCTTATGTTGAATCACAATTCCTTCTTGTGTTGCATCATAATTCTTCCTTGCCTAACATCGTGGTCATGGGATCTCGAATTTGAAGGATTGACCAACTTAACGTAGAGACTCGCTGCTTTTCGAGGCTATCTAGTTTTGAGCAGGTGTTATTTTTTATTTGTATTGGGTGACATCATGGGTTGACTCACTCTATTTCATTGGTTTGACCAGTTGGACGCCCTCTTCTTTAGGCTGGTTAACTTTTAGTTGGTTGACTGCTGAATGGATTTCGTGTTTTCACTTGTTTTCTTCAAACGGGGGATTTCTCATTTTGAACAAAAAATTGATCTTGTTTTTTATTATGTACTTGATATCGCTACATGTTTTTTTCTAGTGCTCTATTCCTATTTCAAGAGGCAAAATTTGTTAAATACATTTTCTTGACATTGAATTACCCAAGACCCTAATTACTGAATTAAGTAGTGATTTCCTTTGGTTTTCTTTTCCTGTTAAGAAAGCCACCAATTTGGACTTATCATGAAAATGACTACTGTGGTATGGGATGCTTGAGGCATTGTTACACACAAAATGGTGATAGAACGATTGCAATCGTATTAATGGCAAAACCGGACTGATTACAATGGAAAATCAAAGAAAAACTAGATGGGAATTCGAGAGTCCATTTCTCTCCTACACGATCAAAAGATCGCACAAAATCCCCTGCCAAAACCACACACCTGCCATATACCATTCTCCTTGTCTTCTTTATTATATTTCCAAAATTACCCCCTCTACTTTACTCTTTACTAGTTGTGTACCCGCGCAATGCGGCGGGAGCCGTGAATTTTAACGATTTTGAAGTTTCACTGGTTTTATTAGAGAAGATTTAACGATGATATAAGTTACACTTGGTCTTTACATATTAATACAATTTGAATCTCACCTTGGGGGATGGAGAGAAGACATAGAGGTATGAGAGGGTGAAGGCATGAGTGAAAGGTGTCAAAAGTATCTTGGGAACATGAAAAGAAGAGATAATAATGTGCATTGGTAACTTGTACTATATGTTATTTTAATTGTAGATTAAGAGATTTTAAGATTGAATGCATAAAGTAGTAGTAATTAATGCATTATGAGTTGTTTTTAAGACTTTGTGCATAAATGTATAATACTTTGAGCATTAAAAATTGTTTTTAAGACTTTTGATAAATCTGGTTTATAAGGTAGTATAGATTTATCTTTGGACCTCTCCTTGAATATACATTCGTAATTGGAGGCTTATCAATACTCCCCCTTCCCCCCCTCAATTCACCTTGTCCTCGAGGTGGAATGTTGGAAACTGCTTACACATATCCGTGTACGACTCCCGCGTGTCTTCAAACTCTAGCAATCCCCGCGAACCAAGGACTTCGATCCCATTATTGTTAAGGTATCGGATACCTTTCAGAGTTTCTAGTTCTATTGGCAGCTCCCAATTATCTTTAAGTGTTGGCGGGAGATGTGTATGGTTCCATGATCGCCAACAGCTTCTTTCTGTTGAGACACATGAAAAACAGGATGGATGCTACTCCCTCGGGCAACTGCAAACGGTAAGCCACCTTACCAATACATACGGTGACAAGAAAAGTCCCATAAAAACGAGGGGCTAACTTAAGATTTCGTTGAGCGGCCAAAGACATTTGTCGATATGGTCGTGTCGTTAAAAATACCCATTGTCCAACCGACAGCTCCACATTCCTTAGATGTTTATCCGCCGATGCTCGCATTCTTTGTTGAGCTCGGAGTAAATGGGTATGTAGCTCCGACAACATTCTCTCTCTTTCTAATAGCATCTGATCCACATTAGAATTAGAGACCTTCATATCCGCGTACGGGGTTATTGAGGGTCTTGACCATACAATATCTTGAACGGGGTGGTGTGGGATGACGTATGGAACGTGGTATTGTAAGAGTATTCAGCCCATGGCAACCAAGTAACCCACTTTCGTGGTTGTGCTCCTGCGAAACAACGTAAGTAAGCCTCAATTCCACGGTTTACCACTTCAGTTTACCCATCACTCTTAGGGTGGTAAGCCGTGCTAAATCTGAGTTTAGTTCCCTGTAATTGCCAAAGTTCCTGCCAAAAATTTCTAAGGAAGACTTTATCTCGGTCTGAGACTATAAACCTTGGCACCCCGTGAAGATGCACGATCTCCTTCACAAAAATGCCCGCCACTTTAGGTGCTGTGAAGGGGTGTTTAAGAGCTATAAAGTGGCTGAATTTACTCGGCCGATCAACCACCACTAATAGAGAGTTAAAGCCCTTGGAAACGGGTAATCCTTCTACGAAATTCATGATAAATCTTCCCAAACCCGCTGTGGAATATCCAAAGGCTGTAGTAAACTGGCTGGCGTCAATGTCGAGCTTTTATTACGTTGACAAGTCACGCACGCGGCTACATATTTCTGGACAGCCAACTTCATTCCTTCCCACCAAAATTCGGCTTTAAGTCGTTGTAAGGTTTTAAGGGACCCCCGCATGACCCCCAGTGGCTCCATCATGGAATTCCATTAGTAACTGGGTAATGATAGGAGATTTGTTGGGGATTACGAGCTTATCATGCTAGAGTAACAAATTGTCTCGCAACTGAAATGGGCGTGGGCAGCCGGACCAAGTTGTAAAGCATCAATGCTGGCTTTACACTTAGGGTCTTGGTTTACTTGTTCAATCAGTTGAGTGATGTTCCATCCCTAAAAAGTAAGTAATTCCATTAAGGTTGGGTCATGGGGTCTTCTAGATAAAGCATCTCCAGCCACATTATCTTTTCCCGGTTTGAACTGGATCGAGAAATCAAACCCATCAGTTTGATTAGCAATTTCTGATACACTGTAGCCACCTCCCTCTGTTCTAATAAGTATTTAAGACTACGTTGATCCGTCTTAACAATGAAGTGCCTTCCCAAAGGATAATGTTTCCACTTTTTGACAGCCAACCCGATAGCCATCAATTCGCGCTCATAGATGGACTTAAACTTTTCTCCAGTTGGTAAAGCTTGACTGAAGTACGTTATTGGCCTTTGTGACTGCATCAAAACTGCCCCCACTCCCGTACCAGAAGCATCCATTTCTACAATGAATTCTTTATTGAAATCCGGTAAGGCTAACACCGGCAAGCCCATCATAGCAGCCTTTAACTGTTGAAAAGTTGTTTCCGACTCCACATTCCATTCAAAACTGTTCTTTTTTAATAGTTGGGTCAAAGGAAAAGCTATTCCTCCATAACCCTTCACAAATCATCGATAGTATCCCGTAAGTCCTAAAAACCCACGAAGTTCTTTAACTTGTGGAGAGGGCCACTCCTTAATTGCTTGCACCTTACCGACTTATGCCTCCACTCCTCTATGAGAGATCGTGTGCCCCAAGTATTCGACCCAATGTTGCCGAAAAACGCACTTCTTACGATTTGCCATCAAGTGATTGTCGCGAAGAATTTGAAGTGCTAATGACAAGTGATAGGCATGGTCTTCCGCACTATGGCTGTAAATGAGTATATCATCAAAAAAGATGAGAATGAATTTACGAAGATGAACTCGAAACAACTCGTTCATAAGAGCTTGAAACATGGTCGGTGCATTGGTGAGGCCAAAGGGCATTACAACGAACTCATAATGTCCCTCATGTGTTCGGAACGCCATCTTCTCAATGTCTCCCTCCTTCATTCTAATTTGGTGATAACCAGATTTGAGATCAAGCTTTGAAAAAATTTGCGCACTGTTTAATTCATCAATCAATTCCTCTACAAGTGGGATAGGGAATTTATTAGCAACCGTAGCGTGATTTAGTGCGCGATGATCCACATAGAATCTCTAACTCCCATCCTTCTGCTTAACCACCAACACCGGACTCGCGTATGGGCTCTCACTAGGCCGAATGATTTGAGCAGCGAGCATTTCTTGTACTAACTTTTCGATCTCATTTTTTTTTTTTTTGTTCATGGGAATAACGATGGGGTCTGGTACTTATAGGAACGGTATTTGGAACGAGGGGAATGGTGTGATCATGGCGTCGTTGTGGGGGTAAATTGTTGAGTGACTCGAACACGACGGAGTATTGCTCAATAACCTCTTGGAACATTGAGTTCGATTCTGACCCTTGAAGGACAACCTCTTCTTGTAATGAATAAAGATCCATGCCACATTTTATAGAGAGATTTTAAAGAAACTGCAACCTTTTATGAACCAGGTTCCCTTCGATTACAATTTTAGACCCCTCAATTTTGATCTTCATTTGCAATGCCTTCCAGTTGACTTTCATGTCACCTAAAGTTTCAAGCCACTGCATTCCAACTATGACATAAGTGCTACCCAATTCTAGAGGCAAGAATCCTGTATTAATTCTTAAATTTGGTAGTTTCAATTCCACCCTTTTACAACAACCTCTACCTTTTACGACTTGACTTGTATCCTTTACCCCGAAACTAGGAGCCTCTTCTATTGGTAATTGTAATCGAGTAACCAAGTCCATAGAGATAAAGTTATGGGATGCCCCACAATCAATAAGAATGATCACGGCTTCTCCATTGATGTGACCCTGAATTTTCATAGTCCTCGGTGATGATAAACCCACCACATATTTTAATGACAGCTCGATTGGTGGAATCAGTGTCTTGACAACCCTCAATTTCATTTAGGTTAAGTTTGCTATCCTGTTCACTAGTTTCTGTAGGATCATCTTGGATCAAGAGAATTTGTAATTCCTTGTTTTTACACTTGTGACCCACTTGATATTTCTCACCACATCGAACGCAAAGTCCCTTAGCTCGTTTGTCTTGAAGCTCTGTCTCCGTTAATTTCCTGGTCACTCTAGATTCGGGCTGTAATATGGATGTTGTACTAGTACCCATACTCTTCCTCAACAAGGATGGGGCACTAGTGACCGTGGTACCATAAGTTGGAGTTGGACGGAGACTTGAACCGGCGAAATTAGGGGAGGGTTTGTACGATACATTATTCCCTTTAACGCTTCCAGTCAAAGGAGAATTTCGATCCTCAACCAATTGGGCCGTTTCCATGATTTGGGCTAATCGTTGAGGCCTCAACAATCTAACCTCAACTTGTATGTTGGGCTTGAGTCCATTCATGAAATTACACTCTAACACTCAATTTGGAAGATCTAACAGGGAAGACGCTAAAATTTCGAAGGAATGACGAAATTCACGAAGGTTACCTGTTTGTCGAAGCGCTAAAAGTTGTTCAAGGGCGGAACCACCGTTAGTGAGCCTAAACCTATTGATAATCTGCAATTTCAAATCATCCAATAGCAAAATTGGATGGCAACCATCAGCCCAGTGGAACCATGCGAGAGCCTCACCCTCCATACATATACCCGCCGTGGCTACCTTCTCTTTATCATCGAAACGTTGAAGTGCGAAATAGCGTTGGGCTCTGAAAATCAACCCATCCAGATCAGTCCCATTGAACATTGGTAACTCTACACGTTGTAATCTCCAATCGGATGGAATAAATCCTTGGGTTGTTGGTTTCGGGGAACTAATTGTCTCTGGAGAAGAAACGGAAGTAAAATTAACATCACCTATTAGTTTCGTAACCGGACTGCCACTAGATCCAGATGACTGATACGAACCACCAGATGTTCCCACTGGAGATGAGACCTTCATCCCTTGTTGTATCAACATATCCAATTTCCCCTCAATCTAAATCATCGATTTTTTTGGTGTTTCCTGTCAAATCAGTGCGAATTGCTTGAACACTTTCTTCTAACACGTCCAATTGATCGGCTTGGGATTTGGGAGGCATGGTCGATCAGAATCGGTCGCTCTGATACCAATTTGATAGACCCAAGCGATTGCAATTGTATTAATGGCAAAACCGGATTGATTACAATGAAAAAATCAAAGAAAAACTAGATGGGAATTTGAGAGCCCATTTCTCTCCTACACGATCAAAAGATCACACAAAAACTGAATGAAATCCCCTGCCAAAACCACGCCCCTGCCATATACCATTATCCTTGCCTTCTTTATTATATTTTAAAAATTACCCCCTCGACTTTACTCTTTATTTGTCTTTGGACCCCTCCTTGAATATACTTTCGTAATTGGAGGCTTATCAAATGGTTGAGGTTTTCAAACTTCATTATACATGGATCTGTGCTGTTGTACTAGGAGATCTATAAATGGTTCTAATTTAGGATAATCAAAAGAGGTAAAAAGGATAATCAAAAGAGGTAAAAAATTCTTCCCAAAGAACAAAAAGAAGACAATAGAGATAACAAGTTGTTAATTCTTTGTTGCATTACATGCAGGTCATATTAGCTTCTATTTTCCAGGCTCTGGGGCTATTTTCACTGGAGATACTTTATTCAGCTTATCATGTGGCAAACTATTTGAAGGAACACCTGAACAGGTAATCAGACCACATATCGTTCTTGTAATTGATTGGTTCCAGATTTCACTTTCGGTAAGCTTTGTCATATATATTACTGTTGTGGTCATCTTTTGCACTAGTCACTGGTTTTTTGCAGTTATTTGATCAACTTCTACCAGTTCTTTGGTGCTTATAAACATACTTTGCATATTAAAAAAACACTGAATGGTTTGTGTTTTACCTTTGCACATTGCATGTAAAGAGATTTTAATGAAATATAATATTCTGTAGATAAGAGAGCAGAGGCAGGTCCAGAAAATTTTCCTAGCGGGTGCACAGAATGATTAGCATAATATGAAATAAAACAGAAATTAATTATGAAAAGTATGGTTTCATTAGAAATGACATGTTTTTTCTCAAGACCCACTGTTACCAAAAAGTTAGAAGGAGAGGCAAAGGGATTTGAACTTGCAATCCGCAATACCATATGCAATGACACTATTGGTAGGCTGCAACTACTTTGTTTACTTGGAGGAGCACACATCAAATTAAAAGCCGATGTACCTTTAGGACTGCTAAAACTTTTTCCACTACGTCGTCACAGTAGAGGTAGCACGGGCACCCTCTCCATCCTTCTTACCTGTAGGAGAGCATGTAGAGCTGCTTTCCGTATTCCTGAGTCCAAGTATCGGGTCACCTTATTGTAATTTGTAACAGTAACAGGCTTCTTATCGTTATTGTTCCATATAATCAATACTGTAATCTTGTTATAGAAGCTGATCTGTGGAAGAATGTGAGAACTTGGTATCTTTTGGCTTAATTGAAATTTGAGTAAGTTCTTTATAGCAAATAAACTACTCATATTGACACCTGTATCTTTTTCATGGTTTTTGTTAGATTCCCCTGAAAAAGCCTGACATCTTTCCATTATGAAACCGCTTTTTTCTGTTGATCCGTCTGTCATAATAAGGCATTTGCTAACTGGCCATGTGTAAAATTCATTGGGCCTTAAACTCCAGTTTCAATATAGGAAGGCCGTCTTATGATTGTTGGTATCTTTTGGCTTAATTGAAATTTGAATAAGTTCTTTGTTGCAAATAAACTACTCATATCAAGTACCAACACCTGTACCTTTTTCATGGTTTTTGTTAGGTTCCCCTGAAAAAGCACTGATAATTTTTCCTTTATGAAATCTTTTTATGTTTGTTGATCTGTCTGTCATATTAAAGGATTTGCTAATCGCACGTGTAAAATTCACAGGGACTTAAAGTCAGGTTTGAACATAGGATTGGCGTCTTATGATTATTGGCATCTTTTGGCTTAATTGAAATTTGAATAAGTTCTTTATTGAAAAGAAACCACTCATATCAACACCTATATCTTTTTCATGGTCTTTGTTAGATTCCACAGAAAAAACACTGACCGTCTTTCCATTATGAAACTTTTTTTTTCTGTTGATCCGTCTGTCATAATAAGGCATTTGCTAACTGGGGCCATGTGTAAAATTGATTGGGCCTTAAACTCAGATTTGAATATAGGATTCCCGTCTTATGGTTCTTGGTCTCCAAGTTGAGATAAACCGTCATTTTTGGCTTGTTCATATGACTTAACAACCTTGCTGTAGCCATGGTTGTATAAAGTGCTACTGGTAGGCTACATACGGGAATATGCAAGCGGCATGCACACACACACACATATATATATGTATATGTGTGTGTGTATGTACATGCATGTATTTTTTATTCTTTAATCCTTCCCTGCTGGCCTTCTGAACCAATGTTTGGGCAATTATCTGGAAGTGGTATGGATAGGTTTGGAAGATCAAGGTAGCAAACTAGGGTGAGGATTTGTAGCTAGCCTAGACAGGAGGAAGGGATCTGGAGAGATGGAGAATGGGGGTAGGCTAGTGAGCCGACAGTTAATCCTCCTGAATTCTAGCAATCCTTCCTACCTCAGTTATGTTTTTCTTCTACATGCTTCCGTTTGTATGTTTTGTTTGCTTGTCCGATCGATTGTTGCTTACTTCTAACTTGTTTTTGAAAATTTAGCACTGTCTTTCTTGTTTCTTTTTTGAATGTTCTTCTTATGTTCTTTTTAGCAAGCTTTTATTCTTTTTTTCCACACTTACCACAAGTCGGGGGGGGGGGGGGGGGTTATGGAAATAGCCGCTCTAGTCTTTGGGATAGAAGTCAAGTCTGTGTACATCTCACCCTCCCCGAACCCCAGCTTCGGACGGGATATACTAGGCATGTATGGTTTGGTTTGGTTTTGGTATGAATAGGTTGTTAATGATGTTAGTCGTAGGATGAGTGCGGTGGATGAAGTTGTGACAGACTTTAACACATCTGTAATTTTAGAAAGTCTGAAACTGAAAGCCTTCCATGAGATATTAATTAGACGTAATATGATGTAGGGGCATAATGTCGGGCCACCAAAAGTAAGCATTTATACAAGATTGAAGTACGAATGATGACATGGATGCATCATGTATAGCTCACACATTGAAGTTTAGTAAATAATTATATTTGGGAGAAGATTGCGTTGAATATGCTAAAGTAGTTTCTTGGAAGGATGCTATTGATGTCCTAGAATGCTTGAGGATTTACCTCTAACGAATTTTTTTTTTTCAGTTTTCATTTGTAGCACACCACAAGTAGTTTGAAATGAGAGGCTTGTGTATGTTGATTGGCATCTGTTTTTTGTCCATGGGAATGTAAAAGTCTAAATAAACCTAGAAGTGGGCAAGTGCTCATGGATACGCCAAATTCAATGTTCCAAGGGTTACTCCAGGACTGTTTTGCCAAGCAAATAAAAGAACGTATGCTCATTATCTATTCCATATTACATGTACAATTGATCAAGAAACATCATATCAAGATGAAGTGGGTATATAGCTTAGGAGGTGTTTGATATTGAAGCTGAAATTATTATCTGTGTTGGTTGATGGTTACTTCTAGCTCATAGACAGAGAAATTTCAGAAGTCCGCTTTGAGTGGTCAAGTGCTCTTAATCTTGTATATCTCTTTTAATCTTGTGTACAATGGTTAGGGATATTGTGCCAACAGTTGTAGGATCAAAGTTGGCTGCGTTTGATGACCTTGACAGTTGTGGATAGGGATGTAAGCGGGTTGGGCTGGGTAGTTTGCGGCATATATACAACCCAACTCAATTATGGCGGTTGGAAAAATCTCAACACAACCCAATCCATTCAAAAGTATAACCCAACCCAACCGTTGGGTTGGGTTGGGTTGGCGGATTAGTAGTATACATAAATTTGACGAATGAAGTACGATAAATATAACTAAAAGTATACCTAACAAAGTTATTACGATCATCCAAATATATATTTAAATCTTTAAGTCTTAGAATCAGACTTTTCAAAGTATGAATGATGGATAATACTTTGGATCATCAATCAAGTATGACCGTTTTAGACTTGTGCGACTCAATATTGCCTTCGCCTTGAGTTTGTTTACGTTGTCTACTATTCAAAAACAAAAGTTAAACAATTTATTAAGAATATATAAGCATGAAAAAAGAACCATTGTTATCACATTAATTTACAAAGTTTATTCACCTTCAAGAAACTCATGTTATTTCATCCAAATATTCATTTCTTGAATACCCTCATAATTCTTTTTCAACCAACTTTGCATGCATACAATGGCCTCCGCCATTTTTGGACTCAAAGAGCTTATAAATGAGTCCAAAATATGTTTGCTAGTACTAAAGGCGGATTCAAAAGCCATGGTGGATACATGTATAGCAAGAAAATGCTATACCTAATAGCATTATCTTTCCACCAAAGTACAACATCAAATGAGAGTCTTTAGATTGATGGATTCATCAACCCAATATCTATCAACATCATTCATATTCTTTGGCACATCCATTTGTTATTGCCAAAATGATTCTTATAATTTTCTCATATGAGATCTTTTGTCATCATTCTTTGGTGGTGAATCTCTGTTTGTAACCTATACATATAGCCAAAAAGAATAACATAAACTCAACAAACATTATATAAAATTTTACACATTATTAATATATAAATATATATAAAATGAAGAGTATATAAAATTTTACACATTATTAATATATACGTATAATTTTATTAGAGTTATATATGTGTATATTAGCCAGGGGAGGGGTTGGGTTGGGTTGGGGTGGGTGGAGCTAGGCCTAACCTAATTTCAACCCTCTTAATTTTGGTGGTTTAATGGTTTGATGACTTGGCGTTTTAATGGGTTGTGTTTAATTGGGTTGTTACCGGATTGGATTGGGCGGATTGAGCGGGTTGACAATTTTTTTATACAACCTTAGTTGCTGAAGAGTTGTTTGTTGTGCTTCTTCAAAGACCATGTGAGCTTTTATCGTAGTTGCCTTCTGGGTTAATTGTGTAAGATCCTGGTAGTTTAGCTGATGCTTTAGTGTGCATCAAAATAGTTAGGGTCCATTTGGTTTGCAGGATTTGGATTGATTTGGAATTGGATTCTGTTCCCATCTCGCATTTAGTTTAAAGGAATGTCTGGAATTGAAATAAGATAACCTAACATATACTCCTTGAATTCTTGAGCATGATTTACTCTCTTTCACTCGGTCTCAACAACCCCAGATTACATGTCAGGAAAAAGAAATGCAATTGAGCTATACGTTCAATACGAGGATATATATATATATATATATATATATAGGGGGACCTCCTTTTGAGAACCCATGAACTTGTGATAACCTTGAGAACTAGTGCATCATGTGATATTTCATTTGATTTTTTTCATCTAAGACTAGGATTTAGGATATCAATTAACATATATTTGTTTCAACATATGTTTGTTTCACATGTATTTGTTTCATAATGTGAACCTTTTTAGCCTCTTTATGAAACAAAAGTTATACGTAAAAAAGTTTCACATTGTGAACTGCATACATATGAAGCAAACAAAATGTGAAACAAATATATGTTCAATAATACATTAAATGCTAGCCTTAGATGAGAAAAAATCATGTGAAATAATACCTTAAGATGATAGTTCCATGGTTATCACAATATATGAAGTTCTCAATATAATCACTTATGATGGATAACCAAACTAAATCAAACGAAATCACTTATGATGGATAACCAAACTAAATCACTTACTACATGATGAAACGAGCTTGAAATGCATATGCTTGCATAACATGTCACTTAGACAGTCACAACAAGTGTCAGACATATAGCCACACAAATATGTAAGTTAGACCTGCAGATCTGCACATACCAATGTGAGATGTGGCGTTGGGCTCTATATTGTCATCCACCCCACAAACAAATTAAATATAGGCCAACCCTCAAAAGTACAAAAGAGGAGACACCGTGGAAATTCATACATTGCCTCCAAGATGTGGAGAAAGTAAGAAATTCATACAAGTATATCGCGAATAAACGAACACAGAGCGGAAAGATAATAAAGGATTTGTGGCTATCGGGTAATGAATTAAACAAACGCTAATGGAATTGAAATCCATGTTTATATTATTTGTTCGATAACTACATGAATACATATCTGTTATAATTATATGTTTTGGTATGCGTATATGTGAAATCCATGTACATTATTTGTTCGAAATCCTAGCATATTTGATTTGCTTGTAGGGTGTATGGCGGTGTAGTGCCCAACGCCATATCTCACATTTTGGTATGCGTATATGCTTGTGTGGCTATATGGCTGACACTTGTTGTGAAATGTTACACAAGCGTATGCATTTTCGAGCTTCTACCCCTATAAGTGATTCGTTTGAGTTTTGTATTTGGTTATCCATCATAAATAATTTCATTTGATTCGGTATTTGGTTTTGTTTGTGAAGTGTAAACTCTTATTTGCTTGATAACCTATGATCATCTTTTGCGCTTTCGTAGTGCTTGCTTTTGCCATATATGTGTGTGTGTATATATATTAGCGCACTTAGTGTTTAGATTAGCTGCATAGCTTTTTTTGCGACATGTAATTAGGGGGTTGCAGGGACTAAGTGAGAGAGTAGACCAAGCTCAAGACTTCAAGGAGTATATGTTTATTGCGACTTTAGTTCTTGTTTTGGTTATCCTCTATTTGTTGATAAGTTGGTTTTGATCAAGAGTTGTATTTGGATGGTTTTTATTGGTTGGGTCGTTTTAAATTATATGGAGGATAGCAAGTATTTGGGTTTAAGCTTTTCTTTTGTTTATGGTTCGAAGTAACTCTCTTTTCCTTTGCGTGAATGGGGTGTTACAATTACGATGCTAGATGGTAAATAGTAGACTCTTAAACCCAACCAAACAAACCCTGTATATCCCACCCAAAAGTGGGGTCTTGGGGAGGTGATTTGTACGCAGATTTGACCTCCACTAGAAGAGTAGAGGGGCTGTGTGATGACCTCCGGATTGTGCATAGTGTGCAAAAAAAGGATAAAGATTGTTCAAAAGAATCGTAAAAAGATCATAGGAAGAACATTCGAGAAGTTCAATTTTAACATGCGAAAGGCAATATTAAATTATGAAAACCGAGTTAGAAGTAAGCAACCAAAATCAACCAGACAAACCAAAATACTAATCGAGGTGGGAAGAACAACATACCTCTAGTCTAACCTAGGATTCACAGGTCTAATCTATGGCTCACTAACCCTATCCTCTACCTCTCAGACCCCTTCCTCCCGTCTAAGCTAGCCATACAAACCCCAGCCCTAGTTTGTTACCCAAATCTTTGGTCTCCAAGAAATCCTATCAGAGGTCCAAATATCAAGTTGTATCTGGATGGCAGCGAGCTACTTGATGATCTTGAGGAGATACTGAAGACTAGTTGTGATATCTAATGGTCACAAGACCATACATTATTTATCCGGATGGGTGTGGTAAGTCGGTTCATGTGCATATGAGGTATCTCAAGGGGACATTAGGGAAATGCATCTTCTACACTCATCATGGGCATACGGATCTCCGGATTACTCTTATGCTAGTTATGCAGATTGCCTATATGGTCGGAGATCCACCATAGGGCATTGTATTTACTTTGGAAGAAATCTCGTGTCATGGTAGAGTAAAAAGTATGATATAGTTTTTTTCTACTGCCATGTCCGAATATCAAGCAAAGCCTTGTAGAGACTATGAAGTGACCTAGGTATGATTTGTTGACTCAGGAATTGGGAGATCCTTTAGCTGGGTTGATGAAACTGTATTGACTAAAGTTAATTGTGGTTATGTTTGCCAGGAAGTAGTTTGTACTGCTCATATAACTTTGTCTATGGAGCCTTCAAGAGGTTGCTGAATATGACAAGATTGCTTATAGGATCACGTATATATATATATATATATATATATATATGAAAAGTTGGGCATGTTAAACATATATGCTCCAACTTTAGGAGAAGTGTTCAAGATATAGGGCTTACTTAAGAGTACATATCTACTTGAATCTCTCTCTTTTTATTGTTTACCTCTGTTGCATGATGTAAATTATGGAAAAAATATTGTTAAACATAAGGTCATCTTCTTTTGGAAGTTAATTTGTGAGTTCATAAATATAAAATTGATACAAATCTATTTGATTTTAGCAAATACAGTAGTTATAAGTGCATATCAACTGGAAAGTGATTTTAAAAGGTCAAAGTGTATCTCTAATGAAGTAGGAGGGAGAAAAACATACATGTCTAAATGTTCACGGCTACAACATCTATCCATATGTGTAGATGAATCAGAATGAACATGTGAAGTATAAGTTGATCCAAATTCCCTTCAGGAGATTCCTTTGCTGTGTGATTATTGTGTTCTCTGAAGTTCTCTATGAAATTTGACTACGCATCAATGACGATCCCGATTCTGATATTTTGATATTTTTCAAGTGATTTACTTATCGGTTCTAATGTATACCAAGATATATTTCCGATACCAACTAATGCCAAATTATGTTTTGCTAACTAGTGACGACGGTTTTATCTAAGTTTAATCATTACATATGCTTTTGTGGATGAGAAGAGCTGAAAGGTGTTCGCTTTTGTGGTTCAGATGCATGAGTCCCTTGGAAAGTTAATATTGTTGCCAGAAGACACAAATATATATTGTGGTCATGAATATACGTTGGTAAGTGATGTTTTTCTTTACCATTGCTCTTCGTGTGGTCTATAATCAAGCTTGTAAGTTTAACGGTGGGCATTCTATCGACAGAGTAATTCGAAGTTTGCACTGTCTGTTGAGCCTGGGAATGAGGAACTGCAGTCATATGCAGCCAATATAGCCCATCTTTGCAAAAAGAACTTGCCAACGGTAATTTACTCATTTTGAGTTATGATGTGTTCCTGCCTTCCCTTATCTTATGAAAACTAAACCCTCATCCTGCTGTCTGGTGCTTTTGAGTATATACAGAACTATCCACTCCTTTCGTCCCATGAAAATTGCAACCATGTACCTTAATAAAAGTGAACAACTACCAATAAATTGTCTAAAATACCACATAGGAGTACCTTTTAGAAAAGGCAAGGCAAATAAATAAAAAATAAAAAGGCAGAGTTTAAAAGCAAACATGAAGCCTAAAAGGTCCGAGATTGCCCAAAACAGAAAAGGAAAACCCGATGCAAGGAGAAAAGCACAAATAAAGTCTTAAATCCAACTGCGGAACCAAAAACCAAATAGATTGCCCCGATGCTTGCAATCCTTTTTGAGTTGGACTTGATTCTGGGTCTGGAGATGATCTCATTTGATTGAATGGCCTTAAGTTCTTGATTTAGATTGGATTGGCAGCTTTTGGTTATCTCTAAGGGTATAAGAAGATCCTTGGGATTGCAATAAATCTCTTGAGAAGCTAGGTTGATTTTATTACTGAAAAGTTTCAAGCCACCTATGATTTTCTTACTTGTTCGCTTCTTAATTTTCCTCTGGGTGCATGAACAAGAAATCTGGGCTAGAGATGGCCAGCATTTGGAATAAAGTTAAGAGAACAAACAGGATTCCATGCTTGAGATTGTGAAAAAAGGTTTGATATCTTATCAATTTAATTGAATTTGGAATAGGTTTAGGAGGTGAGGAATCAAGTAACCAAAGGAAATGCTTGTCGAAAGAAGGGATTATAACTTTTTAGTGATCACTGGTAATACCAAAAAAAGAACTATTCAAAAAGTTCAGTTTCAGAACTAAAAGTTGCAAAAGGAGATGAGAAAGGAATGAGTATGAAACATCCATAGGAGGTTAGCTTTTTTTCTTGCAGAACAAAATCAATACCATGCTCGATTTTCTTTGGTAATTGTGGGTGTACGGATCATGTTTCTTCGACTAATCTTGTAGTTAACAGCCAAGCAAACCCTTGAGTAGACCAACCATTTTGTTTGAAAGTAGACCAATATGTAATTTTTACATATATACTCCAAAAAGGGAACGTTGCAATTTCATAGGTCATCCAAAGAGATAAGAGGTTGTTTACCAAAAGTTTACCGGCAAGAGTCACCGTCCTTACTTACCTTATCGGATAACATTCTTGGTCGTAAAAAGAGATTGTTGGTAAGTGTCTTTTACTCGGTATGCGCTTACCGGCTAAGTTTCTCGGTCCTTACTATGCTATGCCTCTTACCGGGTAAGATTGTCGGTGCCAAGTCCTTGGCATGCTCACCAAGTAAAGTAAGTGACACATGGTTAAGCGTTTGGTAAACGGCCCCGAAGTGTTGCATGTTGTTCGAGTTGTATCTTCCATTGCGCTTTTGTTCAAAAAGTGAACGTTTTTTTTTCAATCAAATTTTGAAGTCATATTGCTGTTTTGTGCACAGATTCCAACCACTCTAAAGAAGGAGAAGTTATGTAATCCTTTCTTGCGTACTTCAAGTCGAGAAATACGTCGGACATTGAATATTCCAATGGATGCGAGCGACGCAGAGGCATTGGGTGTGATCCGACAAGCCAAAGATGATTTCTAAATAGTTTTTGTATACCCTTTTTACCTTGTGTCAATGTCGTGCACATAAGAAATTAGGTCTAGCATTCCGGAAGATGGCTACGACACAAATACCAACCATACACACAAGCTTTAATGAATGATTACCCAATGCTTCTTTTTGATCGCGTATACGCTATCATTACCGTTTTACCGTTATTTTTGAAATGCCAAATCATCGGTCGGGTCTTTGGAGGTGGAATGTTTGCAAATTCAAAGTCTACTCCAAAGAGTAAAATGCATGTAATGTAAGAGCATCTCCAACGGAGGTTCTTATAAGAACCTACTTTTGCTTGCCACAACATTTCTACCTCACCGAATTAAGAACCTATATAAAACTTCACAACGGCACTACTTACGAGAATCCGTTTTGTGGGTTCTATTTATAAAGTCAATAGAATATATAAGAAACTAACAAAGATAAGAATCAAGATTCTTGTACGAAAACTCAACGGAGATGAGGTTCTTATAACAGTAGTTGTAATAAACTTGTCGAGTAATCACGTGACATAAATTTTCAACGATTTCACGGTTATAAATATTTCAGTGCCATGTTTCATATTTGACAAACATTCATTATGCATTTCATAGTATAAAAACATGCTTCAATGTGATGTCGATAACGTTTGCTCGTATGGCGACTGATTTCGGCTCTCTCATCGGTGAACTAGGACCATAAACATGGTCCTCTGCTATGGTACAATACCACCTAGCGATTTTAGTTCATTGACCCTTGTTTTCAACCATCCTTTCACGGTTTTAACTTATCGAGTTCGAGTCGTTTTTTTTTGTAGAACCATTGTATTACATCGTTTCATCATTGAAATGAAACCCGCATGTAAACATCTTACTTATGAAAGTATATGAACATGAATATGGCCCTTTTTAACATGTCGAAACCGTAATCTTTATTGTTCATAGCGAGCGTAGCGTTTATAATGAAATGTTAATGATTCTTATATAGAACATTTCATTCATACTGAAATTGATCCCAAACTTCTCAATTGATTGATAATAAATGTAGATAACTTAGAAGGAAAAAATTGTTCATAAGCCTCGGAATTCGTGTGATCATACTTCTAAAACACCTCCAAGATACGAATATCTATTTCGCGTCAATACGCGGGTAATCAATTGTGATGATTAACCATCTCATGGAATCTTGATCGTTATGTACACTCGCAAAGGTTAAGGTAGTCAAGTTTTTATCCAGAATTCTTTTGTGTTTTATGTGACGTTTTGGTATAATAATTTTGGGTAATTGAGAAATTTGATCCGTTACTATATAATGTTAATTATTCATTTGACTATTAAGACTCGTTTACCAAACACTTACCTGGTAAGTTCTGACGGTAAAATTTAACACTATTATTTACTTATCGGGTAAGATTTTAGTCCACCAAAACGACATTGTATGCAACAATTTACCTGATAAGCGTTTAACATGGTAAGAGTCGTCACCCTCACTTACCGGGTAAGACTCTTGGACCTTGTCTCGCTCTTACCGGGTAAGATTCTTGGTCCTTACCATATTTATTTGGTGAGTTAATGTTACTTGGTAAACGCTTACCCAGTAAACGTTTGATAAACGGCCCCTACGTTTGAGATTATTGAATTTAATTTTGACTAGGCTCAAACACTTTGAGGTAATGGAAACTAGCCGTTTTTTTAAATATAGCCGTTTATGACCGTTGGTCTTTTTGGTCTTTTAGGCCCTATATATAAGTGTAATGGAGTATGGATTTACATACCAACTTACAAAACGCAAAAAACATAAAAAAGACTTTTACAATTCTCGGTTTCTCGCTATATTTTGTGACTTCGGCTCATATTCATTTCTCACTTTCACTTTACAATTCTCATTTCTTTTTGTCTTTGTATTACAAAATGCCAGTAAACAACATGATGCATCAAACGAATACTGAACAAGGACGAAAGTCCGAGATTTGGAATTCATACAACTTGGAATTCTTATTAGAAGAATTCAAGAGACTGAAACTTTTCAGATCAATCTGACATGGGATATCGATGATGAATAAGGGGCCATTTACCAACATTTTTGGTTAAGTGCTGATTGGGGTAAGAGGTCTGACTGTGGTAAGAGGTCTGACTGGAGTAAGTGCTGATTGGATTTTCTTGTTTACCAAACATTTTGTATTAAGTGATGATTATGTCAAAAAGACCATTATGTCCCTCTTTCTGGAGTAAGTGCTGATTGAAAATTATTGTTTACCATATGTATTGTATTAAGAGCTAACATAAAATGTTATTTATCAAAAAATTTAAATATAATTTCAAATTCTTTTTTGCTTACGAAGATATATTGATACTCAATATATTAACATATTACCGATTTTCATAATTTAGAATAAAAAGTCAAATTTTCTAAAAGCAAACTATTAAAATAAGGACCAACAAAGGAAACAACAACAAACCATCAACAACGAACAAAAAGTCATTACAAGTCTTTAACATAATTGTTTGCGTACAAATAGTTCGCTTACAAATATTAATTTCAAGCATTCAACATTAATTGATTTGCAATCTGATCACGCAAATCAGTCATATATTCATTGCCTTGGGGACCCCATTGTGTTTCTTCAACATCTTCCTCAATGCTTTCTTCCTCGATTCCTTCGTCTTGGTCTTCGATAGTAAACATGTTGTTTTCATCATACTCCATAAACAGGCGATCTTGAATATTGCATCTCCTTATAAAATTGTGAATTGCAAAACAAGCAATCACTACATCTTTTTGTATTGGGAAAGGGTAAGGAGCTATTTGTCTTAAAATTGGAAATATTGCTTTCAAGACCCCGTATGCACGCTCGATGACATTTCTAAGTTGCGCATGGGCATGATTGAACCGTTCTTCCTTAGTCAAGGCACGTCGGCGTCGAAAATCTGCTAACCAATACCTTGTATTGCGATAGGGGGTCATAAATCCACGAGTATTGGTATATGCAGCATCACAAAGATAATATTTACCTGTAACSACAAAATACAATTTAAAAGTATAAATCATAATGAGGTTTAAATGTTAAGAAAAAAAAATGAAACATACTTGGTGGAGGAAACGGAAATCCTGAAGTTGGGTTAAATGCAACTTCTGTCAGAACTCGAGAATCATGTGCAATG